GAGGCAACGGGGAGACCCCTTCCTCTGAGGCTGAGAAGCAGAGCTCAGGGCACCAAGCAGCAGCCTCAGAGCCCTTCCCGCGGGGCCTGTGGCTTCCCCTCTGGCTGGTTCGGCCACCTCGGCCGCCCGTCTGAGCCTGTGGGCACTGCGGGGACAGTGCACCGAGGCAGGAGTCAGGAAACCAGCCTCCTGGAGGGGCACCTTGCCCGGGCATGGAATCCAGCAGGGCACAGCAGACAGGCTGCTTCCCGTGGGCAATCATGAGTTTCTTTGGGTACGAACCTGCTTCCTACTTCTTTAGTGGTTACTGAGTACTTTTTAAGCCCCACGGCACGTGTCTGGGACACTGACAAAAGGGGGCCCAGCAGGTAGGAAGAAACATCGGTAACAGAGGAGGGAATGACAAAGTAACAGTAAGACTGGAGAGGAAAGACGTGCTACCTAAAGACACGTGAACACAGCTCTCCAGAGCAAGACACCCACGTGCTCTGCAGAAGCACTTGTATGTACTATGTCTCTAATTACTTTCAAAATCCCACAAACTGTACATCTGTGCATTTCATGAACACAGATGTCACGGTGGAAGGTTCTTTCCACAGCAAGCTCACGGCTAAACTCTGGAGGAGGAGGAGGAAAGCGGGACCAAAAGTTCAGAGCGAATCCGAAGAACAAGGCCGCCCGCCATGGATGCTGCCCCCGGAGACCGGAACACGCGGTGACGGCCTCTGGACACGAGGGGGCAGAACAGTGGCCGGCGGGGGCCACAGGGCCCTGCGGTGAGAGGAGCCTTTCCCAACAGCAGCCCTGGCTGCAGTCAGCGAATGAGTGCGTGAGGCCTGAGCCGGAAAGTGTGAGAATCGCGTTTCCCACCTACATCCCCAACGCCTGTTTTCATATACAAAGTTCCTGGGAACACAGCCCCTCCTGGTCACTCACGTGTTCTCTGGCAGCAACACAGACCGAATGGCCCACAAAGCTGAAAATACTTACCATCTGGCCCTTTGCAGAAAGAGCTGGCCAACCCCTGGTCTAAAACCACCACGGGGAAAAGCATGACGACAGCCATTATTACCTAGCAGGCAAACACGCAGGAAAGGGCATGTTTAGGCTTCGATGTTACACTTGCATTCACTCATCAAGCCCTTTGTTCTGGAAACAAGTCCCTTTCGTGGTGGCCGTGGCGGAGGTGCCAGCAGACAGTCCTCACCCTCCCCACGCCCAGGGCTGGCAGTGTGGCTGGGCCACGTGGCAGCGACAGGCCACAGGCGGGAGCCAGGTGCCTGCCAGCCGGCTCCCCCGCAGAGGTGACCACCAGGGTGACACTCCAGGGGAGCTGCCTCACAGGCGACAGTCCGTGAACACACAAGTGAACATGTGCTGCGAGCACCGAGACGCCAGGGTTAGCTTCTCACCTGCTGGGTGGCAGCGCAGACCGGGCCCCGCTGTGTCCCTCCTTCCCCACGGGGTACAGAGCCCAACAAAGGAGAAAAACACGGCCCACCCTCAGTCAGCCCCCCACCAAGCCTACTGAGATCCTAAACCACTCGCAAGCCTGCCGTAACTCGGCCAAGGTCCCGCACAGAAGCACTAACACAGCTGGCGGAGCAGGGCCAGGCAACCCGGGCCAAGCAGAAAGCCCTCGAACGCCTCAGGGAAGAAATGACTTTTCCAGGGGGTGAAGCAGTCGAGACAGGGTTTCCCTCTTTGAGGAATCGTCTTCCTGCCACATTTTACATAATCTTCAGTGTGATGTGGTGGAAAAAGCACGAGTTTTCAAAGGTGTGGCAAGTGGACTCAAAATCCAACCCTGCCACTTAGCTAAGTGATCCTACCCGGAGCTTAACCCCTCTCAAAACTCAACTGTCTGTTGGACAGCTACATATAAAAGAATGAAATTATAACACTCTCTAATCCCATGTACAAAAATCAACTCAAAATGGATTAAAGATCTAAATGTAAGACCAGAGGCCATAAAACTCCTAGAAGAAAACATAGGCAGAGCACTCTTTGACATAAATCATAGCAATATTTTTTGGATCTGTCTCCTAAAGCAAAGAAAATAAAAGCAAAAATAAACAAATGGGACCTAATTAAACTTAAAACGTTTGCACAGCAAAGGAAACCATCAATAAAACGAAAAGACAACCGACTGAATGGGAGAAAATATTTGCAAATGATACGACTGATAAGGGGTTAATATCCAAAATATATAAACAGCTCATACAACTCAACATGAGAAAAAACAAACGACCCAATCAAAAAATGGGCAGAGGATCTGAACAGACGTTTTGCCAAAGAAGACATACAGATGGCCAAAAGGCACGTGAAAAGTTTCTCAACACCGTTAATCATCAGAGAAATGCAAATTAAAACCACAATGAGCTGTCACCTCACACCTGTCAGAATGGCTATCATCAAAAATACCACAAAAACAAATGTCGGAGAGGGTGTGGAGAAAAGGGAACCCTTGTGCACTGTTGGTGGGAATGTAAATTGGTGCAGCCACTATGGAGAACAGTATGGAGGTTTCTCGAAAAGCTAAAAATAGAACTACCTAATGATCTAGCAATTCCACTTCTGGGTATTTATCCAAAAAAAATGAAAACACTTGGGGCTCCCCTGGTGGCACGGTGGTTGGGAGTCTGCCTGCCGATGCAGGGGACACGGGTTCGTGCCCTGGTCCGGGAAGATCCCACATGCTGCGGAGCGGCTGCACCCGTGAGCCATGGCCGCTGAGCCTGCGCGTCCGGAGCCTGTGCTCCGCAACAGGAGAGGCCACAGCAGTGAGAGGCCAGCGTACCGCAAAAAAAAAAAAAAAAAAAGAAAAGAAAAGAAAACACTTAACTCAAAAAGATATATGCACCCCTAAGTTCATAGCAGCATTACTTACAATTGCCAAGATATGGAAGCAACCTAAGCGACCATCAACAGATGAATGGATAAAGAAAATGTGGTGTGTGTATATATATATATATATATATATACACATATACATACATACACAAGGGAATATTACTCAGCCATAAATAAGAATGAAATGTTGCCATTTGCAGCAACATGGATGGACTTGGAGGGTATTATGCTAAGTGAAACAAATCAGAGAAAGACAAATACTATATGAGCTCACTTATATGTGGAATCTTAAAAAGAAAACAAACCAGTGAACATAACAATAAAAAAGCAGACTCACAGATATACAGAACAAACTAATGGTTCCCAGTGGAGAGAGGGAAGGGGCGACGGGCAAAACAGGAGTAGGGGATTAAGAGGTACAAACTACTATGTATAAAATAAACAGGCTACAAGGATATACTGTACAAAAACAGGGAATATAGCCAATATTTTATAACTAGGAATGGAATATAGCCTTTAAAAATTGCAAATCACTATGTTATACACCTAAAACTTACATAATATTGTACATCAACTATACCTCAATAATTTTTTTTAGAAGTCCAAGACCAGTTTGCTCCACTTGACCCAGGTCCCTCTAGTTTTGCTTCCTTTTCCCATCTCTGGGGCTCAGGGCCATCATCTATTAAACAAGGAGCCCAGGTTACAAGGCCATCTCTACTTCCTGTAAATGTACTGAAAGTGAACTAAACCGTCTGATGAGAAAAAATCTCACCCATGAACAATCTGTAACTGCTGGCAGAAGTTTCTTTTCCGTTAGGATGAAATAAAGACTAAAGAGCGGGGCTTCCCTGGTGGCGCAGTGGTTGGGAGTCCGCCTGCCGATGCAGGGGACACAGGTTCGTGTCCCGGTCTGGGAAGATCCCGCATGCCACGGAGCGGCTGGGCCTGTGAGCCACGGCCGCTGAGCCTGCGCATCCGGAGCCTGTGCTCCGCAACGGGAGAGGCCACAACCGTCAGAGGCCCGCGTAACGCAAAAAAAAAACAAAAGACTAAAGAGTGCACACCTGTTCCTTGCTTTCATGGACAAGAAGACACAGCTGATGTTAAGTGAGATTTAAGAAGTAGGGAGAGCAAGGCATGTATTTTACTAAACTTACTAATACTCCCACCTGTCTCTAGTTTCCCTTTCTTGCACATTTTGTTGGAGGAGAGAGCTGTTTAATTAAGGACATGTAACAGTAAAAATAGAATTATAATTTGTTTTCACCCATAAAAAGTTGTCTACATAGGAAAATGTTTTCCAATAATAAAAATAACATTTGTTAACTCTAAAATTTCAATCTTAAAACACAAGAAGTAGAAGGTAAAAGTTATGCATCTTCTACCCCCAAAGATATGTTATTTTCTTTAAGAGTTTAACATTCATTCAAAACCTTTTCAATATATATATGCAAACTATATTTTTAAATAAAATAATACTACGTGTAAACTTTACAACTTGCTTTTTCACTTAACAATGTAAACTACAGACATCTTTTCATTTGAATTTACACTGATTCACCTCACTCTTTTTAAAGACTGCGTAGTATCCCATTGTGTAGATGAAACAAAATTTATTAAGCCCTCACTCCTGAGCCTGATATGCTCCTCTTTAAACTCAGGTCCCTGGGCTGAGAAGTTAAGACAGGGCAGAGGCTGAGGGCTGAAAATTACATGAGTATTTTCTACCTGACTGCTTCATTTCAGGCTCTGACCTCTTCCTGGCAACAGCACATTTGGCACAAACCTAAATATGCATGAAGCAAGACCAGTGAATTCATGGAAACCATGAGGGGAAGGATACCCTTCATCTTTCCATCAATACATAAGGTTAAAGTTGTCCAGTTTAAAATACAGCTGGCCAGGTAAGAATAAAGCCATGAGAATACTTAAACACTTCTGGTGAGCTGAGTCCTATTTCCAAACATTTAAGTCACCTCCACTCCAAGAAAAGTATTTCGCCAGTATGCTGGCCTTTAACAAATCCTGTAAGACAGGAGTGAAACAGGAACATCTGCATACTGACGTTAAGAACCTATTATTCCAAGAATGCTGGGCCTTTAACTGTGCAATGAACCCGAGCACCTTACCCAGGCAGCTTATACCTTATACAGCGGACGACGGACATCGATGGGGCAGCTCTGAATGACTTCATCAACAACGTCCGAGATGGACTCCATAAAGTCTGGGTTGGCAAACTGAATTTCGTATAAACATAAAAGAAACATTACACATTTCTCTCAATAACCTTTTTAAAAAGTAACTTTAACAAATACAGAATGTACTATACCTTTAAAACCGTCACACTGGAATGACTACGTCAAATGTTCACATGTCAGAAGAACCCAAGCGACTGTGCATGGGGTGATGGTGACACGTGCCCTCAGGAGATGACATGTGTGGGGTCAGCAAGGGGAAAACATCAAAGAGTAGCAAAAACAGACCAGCTCTGCATTAGGACACACGGTGAATCCTGCTGTCAGAGTGTGAAACGCGTGTGCATGATGTATGTGACATGTAATGAAAACGCCACGAATACACAGTAAGTATACCACTTATGAATACTAACATCATGAAAAAACTAGCCATGAGATAAGAAAAAAACAGTCAATGAAAGATCACACTGTAAACCTGAGCTAGAAGCCTGGGGAGGGTTCGGGCGGGGGTGGCTTTTAAATGAAACAGTCAATATGGTAGCAATCATGTCACTGAGTAAACAGTCTTGGATTCAATTCCGTAAGTTAAGTAAGTTAAAGTATAAATAATTCAACTTAAAAAAACTTTTAAATACACTTTAAAAATCAAGGAATGCTTTAACGTACTCAAGGGGAAGAAGGTAACATCCAGTTGCTCACCAGCTGTTCACTGGACATTTTCGGTTTTATGTCTATTTTAAATCAGTAATATCAAAGGCATGATTATTAGGTTATAGTAAGGCATACATTGTGTGCCATTTTCCTATACAAAATGGTCATACACATCTAAAAACAGGCAGCAGCTTGTAACCTACCTATCAAATGTAAACTGAATTAGGCAGGAAAATATACCAAAATACAAATAAAATCCACTTTATTTAAACCTTAAAATGTTGCCTCTTGATGACTGCTTCTGCAAAAGTAATAATAATTCTTTGTGACTATAGTTAAAATGATGGTATCTGCAATTCCTAAAGCCCATCTAACTAATGGCAAGGTTAGTCCTCAGACAGAAGCTTTAACTAACTTGCAGCAGGGAACACAGCAGGACCAACTGTCTGGGGTTAAAAGCTGCAACTAGGATGGACCATCACCAAGGATGGAAAGGTTACATGTTACATGTTACCCTGCTCCCATACAAAGGCAGATTGCATTCGGTCCCCGGGATTAACTAGTTTTCATATTACTATGGATTCATTTCATTTCCATTATCTTCTATTGCTCTTAAAGCGTCTCCCTAATCACTCATTATCTCTAACGGAGAACAAAGTCTAAAGAGGGGCATCAGTCAAGCAGGCAACCTGCACAGGGGCTGTAAAAGCTGCAGAGGGTGCAGCGTGTATCCCAGCGTCCTCACGACAGGCGGCCTGAGAGCTGCTCAGGAAACCCCACTGGGGACTCTCCGTACACACATGAGGTGGCAGTATCGCTCCACATGTGCCATACCTCACACTCAAAAAGCTAACATCTTACCTCCGGGTGAAAGAAAATCTCAGGGCCCAGGAACCTTTCGTAGCCAACATCTATAATAAACTTCTTCTGGTTGACTGCATTGATCCCCGTGTACTGTTTGATCCACTTCTGAGGATCCACATCATACTTGGCAAATTCCTTGACGATATCAGGGCAAATGTAACAGTATTTCTCCTGCAGACACACACAAAGAGATGTCACCAGAGTCTGCCCTCTGACAAGTACCCAGCATCAAACACCCTGAAATGAGTCCCACACACACACAACTCCAGTATGGACGTGTGGCCAAGCCTCACAGACTTTTCATGACTACGCTCTAGACTTGTAAATCTGCTTCCTTTGCAGCTCGGCTATGAACCTCAGCCTTACCCTATCAAATTTTGCTGCATATCATCTGAAGTGATGTCTAAAGGTATCCCTCTCCGCTTTCCTTATTCCTCCTGGGCCCCTACACAGCGCCTGGCCGGGCACACACCGCCATCCACCCTGCACCAGTAGACCGCATTCCCCACGATGAATGCGGTGGATCTCACCCCCATGCCTACCACGGCCCACCGGTGGGTCGTGAACCTGCTGTGCAGCCCGACACAACATGGTCATCAGCTCCACGACAGTATTCACTGAGTGCCTAGGCACACGGGATGCGCAAGTGAACAAAACACACACAGACCCCTGCCCACTGGAGCATACGCTCTGGCTAAGTCAAGAGAGTAAAGTGACAGCCATGATATGTAAGTAAGTGACACAGCACGCTAGAAGGCGGCAGGTACCACGGACAAAAGAAAAGGCCCACTTAGGTAGGATGGAGCTGCCGTACGCCCATACACGAGAAGCCACTCATGGTTTCCACCCCAGCACCGGACCAGCCTGACAGGTGGGAAGTGTCTCCTCAGCATCTGGTGACACTCGACTGGGGATCTCTGGGTCGATCATCTGTCCTGAGAGCTAACCTCAGCAAAGCAGCAGGTGGCACTTGGGTGGCAGATTCTGAAAGTAAGCTGCCTGTGGGCAAGGTGGGCTTTGCTCAACACCAGGCACACAGCTGGAGCTCACTACACATTTTAGAAGGACCTCTGAAGGTCTTTTCATGATATTAAGTTTAAAGTTTCTGAGAATCCCTGAAACAGATCCTAATACCATCCTTGATATACTTTGTCAAATTATAAGCTACACAACCCTGCTCATTGACAACAGAGCGAGTCAGTCCACATGACTTTAAATCTACAGACTGGAGACAGAAACATTACATTGCCTGGTCAACTTCTTAGGGCACCTCAGCTGGCTCAACTGATGGCATGAAACGCCTCCTTGAAGCTGGACGGAGAGCAGCCCCGTCAGCCCTAAGTTCTGGACTCCCGCTGCAAGGACAGTGTGTGCCAGAGCCCACCAGCCTCAGGCCCACCTGTGACCCTGGGAGTGACAGGATGCAGGGGCTCTAACCACCCTTTCCAGGATCTCCTCCATCACAGAGAGAAGTGAGGCGAGAATGAACAGCAGGGTCGGGGCAGCTCACCTGCGAGAACACAAGGAGTCTCTCGCACGCCCGACCTTCACTGCTGAGCGACACACTGTCAGGGCCGGACTGGGCCAGCTCCGGGCTCAGGGCCAGAACCGGACCCCAGAGAGCCAGCAAGTGAAGGAAATGCCTCTCGATCATCACACTCAGGGCTCTGCTCACCCCACGTCCACCCCGAGGGTCGGGTCCCATTTGTGAAAGGGGGCGTGGTGAGGGAACCTGGATCAGAAATCCAAATCTCTTTCCTTGAAGAAAGGCAAGGAGAGGAAGAGGGAAAGTTGGGGAAATATTTTATTCTAAAAAGAAAGTCTTATGTTGCTTCTATAACCTTCCCACCAGAAGGAAAGGACGGGCCCTGGTGCCTTGGCTGGGCATTCGAGGTGCTCCCGTCCTGGGCACACGGGGCAGCGGGCCCCTCCTCCCAGGAGCCCTGACCACTGCCGGTGCGCCCGGGCTCAAAACACCTGTGTTCACCAGGAGTGGCGGGTGAAACGCGGGAGTCCCGCCCCCACCCCATGCTTCCTTTCCTTTTAGCCAGCCCGGTCCTGGGTGCTTAGTGCGAGGAAACCAGGGAGCAGCGACGGGGGCGTGGGAGAACAGGCTAGACTCCCCTGCGGCTCAGAAGCTAAGTGTATACTCAAGGCCATGTGTCGTCCCCACATTTAAATTCTTATACAGAAGCAAAAAAAACCCTTGCTTCTCATCTATATGAAGATCACGCTTGTATTACTAAGAATCTCTTGCATTTTGGCTTAAAAAAAACACAATAATTTGTCCTAATTTTGCAACCTGAAAAGAAAGCTCCTTTCAACAGGGTCTGTCAACTGCTACATACAGAGTCGTACGAAGACCAGACTGATGGATCGGGTCAAGCGGGCATTTTAAAAAAGGAACAATGAGCCATTTTTCTTCTACTCTTACGGATTTAATTGTAAAACCTCCTGTAACTTTTCCGGCATGGTAATTACAGTCTGGAAACTACATGTGGATTCTGCTTTATGATCCCACCCTAGAACAGCATTACTCTGAACGGTAACTCACAGGGCACAGAACCACAGACTACAGGTACTGGGAGTCAGTGTGAATACTGGCTGACCTCACAGGATTCCTAACGGTCGCTGCTGCTGCTGCCTGTTCCTTATTCTAGAAATGAACTTGAAGGGAGACGTGGGAGACACGTCCAGCTAACTGAAGGTTCTACCTGCTCAGGCGCCAATGAAACGATGCTGTACTGCGTAGGGCGCTCAATCCCAGCGATCGGGCTGTTCTCATGTGTAGCTGGAAGCTCCACAAGCGTAAACAGATCGAGACCCACATTCGTGGGGAGTGGGGAGGAAGGAAGGTGAGGGCGGGGGGTCTCAGCAGCAAGGGAAGCACCCAAACACCTCTCTCACCCGCAAGCCAGCCCCGTTTGCTCCTGCTTTTACCTTGATGGCTTTGGCAGTCTCCAGCGACTGCTCCGGAGGAATCCCCACCTCCCGCTCCCTCAGCAGCTGTTGCATGAAATACGTAATATCTCTCCCTGCGATAGGGATGTGTTTGATGCAGCTCCCAATGACATACCCTTCTGCCTAGGAAGAAGAGGAGACAGACAGCGTGTGAGCGACTCCAGGAGAGAAGGGCTCCCTGGGCGCTAAGTCAGTCTCCCGCCCCGCCCGCGTCACTGCATTTACTGAGTCCCCACTCTGTGCACAGCTCAGGCCTGGAGGTCTTTTCAAATGACCGCAGGCACAATTCCGTTAGTAGAACCGGAGATGTCCTGTAAGCCACCAAAATGACGTCTTCGTCAGGAATGTGAAGAGAAAAACCACATGAAATGGTTCATTTCCAAAAAGTACTGCCGTTTGTCAGAATAATGGATCAATCATTTTTTTCTTCCTCTAACAAAAAGGAAGAAGTTTATCTATAAAATCATTAAAACAACTATAAATCGACCTGTATTTAAAAGTCAACAATTTGGTCAGCAGGCAGGACACGGCTTCTAACAACCTGGACTCAATCCGGTTCCACGTCTGTGGGCTGAGTGACCGTGGACACATCTGGCAACATGTTTCATCCTCAGTTCCTTCATTCATAATATGGGGCAAACGGGGTTTATAACACAGAATTCATGAAACAGAGTAAGTCCAGCTCACAGCCCTGTTTGGGACCAGTAGTTAGGTACTCAATAAATGGTCCCGTTTACTGTACAAAGAGCGGCACTTGTTAGGAGTGATTCTGGCCAGTTCACCCAAATGCTCTGCCGTGTGAGACCACACTGGGAGGAGCTGCAATCCTCTTGCTGGGCCGCCCCCTGCCAGCGCCAGGAAGGGAGCTACAGCTCTTTGCCCACGGCCTGCAGCTCGGCCCGAGGGCCCACACCTTTTAAAAGGAGCTATACACACACACACACACACCCCATATGTGCAGAAAATATGCCTGTAATATACATAAATAACTAGTAACAGGGCTCTCTGAGCAGGGGGCCTGGAGGAGGAAGATGAGAAGGAAAAGGAGGTCTGACTGTCCACTGTGTGTCCCGTTGCAGGCAGCTTCGATTCATCTTCAAAAAAGCAAACTTCAGGGGCTTCCCTGGTGGTGCAGTGGTTGAGAGTCCGCCTGCCGATGCAGGGGACACGGGTTCGTGCCCTGGTCCGGGAAGATCCCACATGCCGCGGAGCGGCTGGGCCCGTGAGCCATGGCCGCTGAGGCTGCGCGTCCGGAGCCTGTGCTCCGCAACGGGAGAGACCACAACAGGGAGAGACCACAACAGTGAGAGGCCCGCGTACCGCAAAAAAAAAAAGCAAACTTCAAATAATTCATTTAAATAGTCCACTGGACCGAAAGAAAAATATAGACACTGTCTCTTGAACCTGAATTAGGAATCACTTCTCTAATATTTTGAAAATTAAAACCAAAAAGTGACACTGCAGAGCATTCTGCAAGTCAAAAGGAACAATCTCCCCTTCTTGGCTCTTAAATAAAATTTGAAAAACAAGAAGCGATTTCTCTAAAGCATGAGCTGGGTAAAGCCATCCACATCTTGTCACAGAACACAGAGCTCATCCTTCAGAGCGGTCATGCACCACACCTACTGATACCCAAGCTGACAGCTCAGAACGTAAGCCAGGAAGGCCCTCCTGGTGATGTACCCCCGGTGATCAAGCAGAGCCCTGGAGACCCCGAATGACTGCTGACATCCTGATTGCAGAAATTTCCCAGCATGAATCCCAACTTGCCAGCACCAAAGACACTGGTTTTCTTCTTCTTTCTCACATACCTGAGTTTAAAGACTCTTGTTACCTTTGCTAAGTACAGTTACGGTTTCTAAAGTGGTATTTTAATTACAGAAGGGTTTTCTCCTTTAATCTCTCCCCTTACCTCCAGTCGGGGGAGGCCTACAGAAAGTGAAGCACTGAACACTCTGCTTACCACTGGGATAGCATGGGTGACCCCATCCCCACTGTCGATGACGATCCCCGTTAACGTACGTTCGCCCACTTGTCGCGAGGTCCAAGACGCTGCTAAGGCCAGCACTGCCTGCACCAAAGACATGGAGACCATCAGCATTCGGGGAAACTCTTCCCAAGGACTGCACCTGATTGTTCTCAGGTTCAATCAATAAGACCTTTCTTACGAGTAACTCTTTCCCTTCCCTATCCTCCATCTTCCCCCCAAAATTCAAATTCCAAATTGAACAACTAACACGCAAATTTTGTATACTTCATCTGGAGGGGTCAAGTTTTCAATAAAATAAATCAAAGTTTTGCAAAGAAAAGCCAGAGAGAATCACCAGAGGCAACAGCCTGTGCTATCTCCCAGATTAATTTTCTATGCAACTCCTTCTCCTTTTTCTTAGAAGGGACTGGAATATGCAGAAGACATTTTAGGAGATACTTTTTAAAAATTTATTCCCCAAGATCCCAGTCAATTATACTGGGATCAGGGTGGCAGATAAATACAGGGTGGCAGATAAATAACGACATCCAAAACCAACAAAAATCCCCACACTAAGAACAAGTAGCTTCAAAGGAAGTCCTACAAGCTCATGGAACCACAGGAGCCCAAATCCCAAAGGGGGAACCCTCTAGAGACATATGTTTTGTTTCTAGCAGATATTATAGTATCTTTCCTTTTTTATGATCAGAAGTGAAAGAAGCCAAAAAAGAACCATCATATCAATCTTGTCATCCAGAGAAGAATACATTAGATTCTAAAGCATGTAAAAAGACAAAAGCTGGACAAACTCTATACCAGCAGTAAAAACATAAAGATATAAATCACAGAACATGGTCTGTACAGTGTTTGAGTTCAAACCTGAATGGGGTGGGTGTGGTGTGTGTGTAGGGTGTGGAAAAGGAAGAACGCACAGCACAATCTTACAACAGAGGCCTTGAGAATCACCATTTCTTCCACTATTAGACAGCTAAGGTCATTTGGGAATCATAAAAATCACTTTGTTTTTACCTGAACTGCAATGTAGAGTCCTGGTACATTAAATGATTCAAACATAATTTCTGCAAGATATTCTCTGTTTTCTGGTGTGTTCAGTGGAGGTTCTGTCTGTAAGAAAACATTCACTGTATTTAGTGTTCACCTAAATTTCATGTAACTATATCAGAATCATAAAAAAGTTAACCTAAAAGCATGTTATAATTAGGATGCTGTACAACTTCCTGATTTGACAGGTAGCGCACACCCAGAGCGTACTCTAAAGAAATTTGTACTTAAAGAAACTGTCTTAAAGAACTTTGGCTGCGGGGCTTAAAAGCTTTGACACAGGGCTTCCCTGGTGGCGCAGTGGTTGAAAATTCGCCTGCCGATGCAGGGGACACGGGTTCGTGCCCCGGTCCAGGAAGATCCCACATGCCGCGTAGCGGCTGGGCCCGTGAGCCATGGCCGCTGAGCCTGCGCGTCCGGAGCCTGTGCTCCGCAACGGGAGAGGCCACAACAGTGAGAGGCCCACGTACCGCAAAAAAAAAAAAAAAAAGCTTTGACACAGCAGAGTAAAGGCCTCTCTGAACACTTCTGCTCTTATTAACCACCCCAAAACAGGAACAAGTTAGAGAAAAGGGAACTCTGCCTTCGATAACATAACAGCCAAACACCCTGAAACTGAAGAGCCCAGCAGCAAGTTGCCAAGGGTAGTAATAACCCCACCAAGATGAGTGAGGATGCCAAGAGGGAACACCGGTGACTTCAGACCCCAGGCAAGCTACACAGGTCTCCAGAGGGAGGAAAAGCAGTGAGCCTTGCTTGGAAAAAGACCAGTTTCAGCAGAACAGCTGAGAAGCCTCCCTCCACAAGCCCCACCTACCATCAGAGCACAGGCCGCAAGGTTAGACGAAGCATCTTTGCCATCAGCTGCGAGACAGAAAAAGCTGGGCAGAAGCAGCTTCACCCAGACACTGCCCCCCGCCCGGCCTCAACTCACACACACAGCCTGTCCAGGAAGAATTCCCCTCATTCAAAGATGAGGAAAGAACACAAAGAAAACAGCCAAAGACCATATAAAGACACTGAAAGAAAAAGAGAGGGAAGAGGGGAAAGTAACAGGAAAAACAAATGGCAGGCAAAAAAACATGTACCCAGAAAAATGTAAAAATACAGCAGATGAAAATCATGATAAAGACATTTCAAAAAATTCAAATATCTATTTTAAAATAATAACCATTATCAAATAGGAGGAAATTAACAGGATAACAGAAAGATAAAAAGAATAAATAAACCTGCTTTTTTGTCATTCAGCAATAGGTTGTGAACATTTTTCCATGTCAATAAATATGGTTATACATCACATATTTAAGCTGCAAAACAAAGAAAGAAAGAAAGAAAAAAAGAATAAATAAAAATTCTCTGGACCTTTTGGCAAAAACTCCCACATTACCCTTTGTTATAGACTGAGCTGTGTCTCCCAAAATACCTGTGTTGAAGCCCAACCCCCAGTGTGACCGCATCTGGGGACGAAGCCTCTGGGGAGGTAATCAAGGTTAAGTGAGGTCATGGGGGAAGCCCTAATTCGAGAGGACCAATGTCTCTGTAAGAAAAGGAAGAGACACCAGAGAGCTCTCTCTCGCACACGCACAGAGGAAAGACCGCATGAGGACACAGCGGGAAGGCGGCCATCTGCACACCGGGAAGGAAGGTCTCACCAGAAACCAACCCTGACAGCACGCTGATCTCGGACCTAAAGCCTCCAGAACTGTGAGAAAACAAATGTCTGCTGTGTAAGCCACTCAGCCTGTGGGATTTTGTTATGCTTAGTTCGAGCACCTAAAACATCCTGAAAGCAGCAAAAGTACAGCCAGCCTTGGCCATCAACACAGATACGTTTGTAGCACTGGGACACATGGGGCCACACTTACAGAGTCTTCAGGGCAGGAAGGTGTGACCCAAGAATTCTACATCTGGCCACACTGCCAATCAAGTATGTTGCAAAAACAAAGGACCTTTAAACATATAAGAACTTGGGAGAATTTGGTTCCTATGAAGCCTTCATGAATTAACTATTAGAAGATAAGAATGCAGAAAGTATGGCAAAGACTCACAGTGAGCAATTAATCCATTTAAGATGTAGGAATAAAGATTTTTCTTTCCAGGGAATAACAGCTATAGAACAGAATACAAACATTATAAATTAAAACAGCAGAACCAGCATCAAGTTGAGAGGTACAGACGGAAGGAGAGGTATAGATGGAAGGAGAGAATATAGACATTGATATCCTCGTACCATGGAATCAAAAGATAATTGTCTTATTATAGAGTATCAGAGACATCAGTAAACCTAAAGTTGTAAATAGCAGAATAAGTTTAGTAACATAATCAATCAAAAGCAGGTGACAGAGGAAGAAAGAAAAGGTAAGAAAATGTGGAAATGTACCAACTTGATCACTAAGCACAGTAGGAAGTAATCACACCTAAACAAACACAGGTAAATATATTATACAGAAGGATAGTTACATTAAAATAGTTTTAATGAATTATTATGAATTATTTTTATAAATAATAAGTCTTAAAATACTAATACATAAATAAAACACATTAAAACCAGAAAGCAAAGCATATAGTAGAACAGCTGAACTAAGGCCACACACACCTGTCGCACAGTGGCAGGCCACACCAGCCCGGTTAAAAGGAGAGCTTGTCCCACCTTCAATTTTACTAAGTTTAGGAAGTGATTTCCTGTCTCAGTGTGTAACGAGCACTGACCTCACAGGAGCCTAAATAAAGTGCTCATGGCAGTACCCAGCATGTGGTGAGTTACTGTTACTAAAATCATCAGCAAGTACCAGTGAGAAACTCACTAAAGACTAAAGTCTCTTAGCTAAGACCATGAAACAAAATCAAATTACATTCTCTAGGCAAGAAAAAACAAGGTGCCTCAGAGAGGTCCAAAGTCAGCGTTGCTTCCAAGATCAGAAGAAACCTTGGGACTTCCCTGGTTGTCCAGTGATTAGGACTCCATGCTCCCAACGCAGGCGGCCTGGGTTCGATCCCTAGTCGGAGAACTAGATCTCACGTGCGTGCCGCAACTAAGGAGCCCGCGATCTGCAACTAAGGAGCCCACATGCCGCAACCAAGACCCGGCACAGCCAAATAAATAAATAAAATATTAAAAAAGAAAAAACCTAAATGCCCATCACTAGGAACTGATTAAACAAATTATGCCACATCCATAAAACGCTACACTTTGCAGCAATTAAAAAGGATGAGCTTTCTGCGTGCTGGTATGAAACAATCTCTATGATAAACAGTTAAGTGAAAAGAGAAAGGCATCTGCACACTTTACACATTCTTAAATGTTCTTCTGTATCAACAACTTTTTTATAAAAAATCAAGGTGTATGGGGGCGAGGAATAGGGAGCTGTTCAATGGGCAGAGCTTCAGTTCTGCAGGATGCGAAGGTTCTAGAGACCTGTCACACAACAATGCGAATACAGGTAACACTCTGAACTACACACTTAAAAAAGGTTAAGGGAGTAAATTTCATATGTTTTTAATCACAATTTTTAAAGGTTTTACAATAAAAAACAAGGTTACCACCATATGTGTATTTCATTACCATTTTATAAAACAAGTTTATGTATAATCCATATGCCTGCACACAATTATCTCTGGTTAAGAACCGGTAAAGGTGTTTTCCTCCAGGAAGGGGATCTGGGGGGCAGCACAGAGCTGGGAAGGAGACACACGTGCACTGGAAATCCTTCTGCACCTTTTGAATTCTGTGCTGTGCATGTCATCGCTTCAAACAAATAAGCAAGTCTGGCTGTCAGCTCACTGGGGCCTTTAGCTTAGACTCTTGTATAGCAATGATGGAAAGCTCAAACGCAGCGCCCCAAGTAAGTTTTAATTACTGTGATTAGAATCAATATACAATATTCCCTGGATGGGAGAGAGAAAGCAATCTTAAGACATATGTGAGAAATAATAAAGTCATCAAAAGCAGATTGTAAATAAGGGATCTGAAAGTCACCCAACAACAACATAACTTATTTTAACATTCCTACCTCAGGGGGTTGAGATTAAGTTTGTTAATACCTTAAAGCGCCCAGCACATAGCTGGCACTGTGTTATGCTTACTATTTTAGATTTCTTGCATTTAAAGCACATGAATAATAGCTGCACCTTCCAACAGTACTGGCTACAATGTATCTCCTTAAAGCACCTCCTGTCCATCTGAAAAACAGGCCTAATAACTACCCCCTCCCAGGGTTGTTGGTGGGATTAAATAAATGAGTGAATACATGTAAATACTTGGTGAGGGGAGGGGCAGGGCACATAGCAAGCGCTGAATAAATGTCAGCTATACCATCAATAATGTAATTCACACCAGAAGAAATTATATATATTAGCTACAGAGATCTATAAAATCTTTTCTCACCATGAAGAGAAATGCAAGCACCTTAATAAGTTAACTTTAGAAACAAAGCATTTAAACTGAGCAGAGGGGAAAAAAGGATCAAGAGAAAAAGACTAAAAAGGCATGAAAAGTGTGAGCACAGTCGAGGAACATTTCTTCCCCACTGGCTAAGAGCTGCCTATTTGGTTTGAAGCAAAAAGTGAGCCTACAGGAGACATTCCCAGCAAGAAGTAGATTGACTCTGGCTCCTGGATTCTTCCGGGTTTAAGTCCAGTGTCAAATGATGTTCCAAATATATCCCAAATGGATGAAAATTATGTATAAACATCAAAGGAAAACAGGTTTACTACATAAAAACTTACAGATTCAAAAACATAATCTACAAAGGGAAAAAAAAATCAATTGAGAAAAAAAGTATCTGCTCCTGACAAAAGCTTCCTGTCTATTATAAGCAAGAGTTCACAGTATAAACAAAGTGTGATACGTATAAAACAGAATATTATTCAGCCCTGAAAAGAAGGAAATTCTGACACATGCTACAATGTGGCTGAACCCTGAAGACATTATACTAAGTGAAATACGCCAGTCACAAAAGGAAAAATACTGTAGGATTCCACTTATATGAGGATCTAGAATAGTTACAGTCATAGACACAGAAAGTAGGATGGGGGGGTGCCAGGGGCTGGAGGAAGCAGGAAGAGGGCGCTATTCTTCGATGGGGTCAGAGTTTCAGTTTGGAAGACGAGAAAGTTCTGGAGACGGATGGTGGTAACGGGTGCACAACAATGTGAATGTACTCAACTCACCAAACTGTACGTTCAAAAATGGTAAATTTTATGTACATTTTATCACAAAAGAAACTTTTAGGTAAAAAAAAGATCATAGAAATCACAGCAATAGGAAAAGCAATAAAACACTGATATGTACAAAACACAGGACATGAATAGGCAATTCACGAAAGAGAAAATACAGCTAATAAACACATGAAAAAATGTTTAAGGTCAAAGTTATTAAAAATGCAAGCTGACAACAAATAATCAAAAATATTAATCAATGCTGACAAGAGTTCTAATAATGTGGCCTCTAGTACACTGAAGATTTCAGCGTGAAATGGTATGCTAAAGATTCAAAATTATTAATACTTCTGTACCCCCAAATTATATATAATTTTTATACTTTTAATATAAAAAATGCTAATATAGAAACCACTGTGCAAACATTACTTCATATTACTTCTTAGAAAACCAAGAAATTGGAAACAAAAGTAAACATCTAAAAATAGTGAAACTGCTAAACAGGAAATATTCACTGGATAGAGGACTGTATAGCCATTAAAATGAGGATTATGAAAAGAGTGTAAGAAAATGGGGGAAGAGGGACAGAGGACACAATATTGAATGCAAAGTCATACAAAAACATGGGTGAAAAGATTAAATGAAGATATACTAAACGTTAATATTTATGTTAATGGGACGTAAAAAGTCCCACAGATATCTTTCAAATTTTCTAAATCACACTTACAGTTCTATAATAAAAAAAATCTTTACAAGAGTTGTGAAACCCTGGGTTACAGCCTGTGTGTAAAGACCACAGAAACTCCCAATACAACTTCCTGATCTATTTATCCAGACGGAGAAACTCACAGAGGCAAGACGGCAACACAGAGCAGAAGCAGCTGCATCTCGACATGGCTTTCCTGGCCTTCTGGCTGCCGATGGGGATGACACTCGCCACATCCAGCCAGAGTTGTGAAGACAGTTGACTGAATTCTCGTCTTGCCACTGTCTTCATACCTGTAGTCACATCATTATGGAAGGCACTGCAACTTGCCTACCCTGTACCCATTCTCCCTTCTGCCTTAATGACAGACCACTGATCAATCACAGGCCCAGAGGAAAAGCATTTCCCAGACTTCCTCATGGACAGGGGTGGCTAAGTGAGGAAGCTCTGGCCAATAAGAAGCAAAAGCTGATGGATGTAGCTTCTAGGAAAGCTCCTTACAGGGGTGAAGGCAGACTCAAGCAGTAGACTCGCTTCTGCTTGCTCTTAATGCCTTCTTTCCTGGAATGCGGAGGTGATGATGGAGCTGCAGGAGCCAGCGTGGGGTCACCAGGTAACCGTGGAATGAAAGCCATACGCTAGAGATACTAGAGCACAGAGACCGCTAATGACAGACACCAGGATGCTGCCCTGCCAGCACTGCCCTCCCTACTACAAATGTATGTAAGGAAAATAAAACCCTTAACTTGCTAAAACCAATATTTAATTACTTGCTGCCAAACGATTCACCATCTGTGAAGAATTTACATTAAAACCTACATACTTCTATTTAAGGGAATGTTTACAATGTAATTAGGCTCTCCTGGCTCCTGAATCAAATTCAGCATTATTAACGGCATATTCTTATGGGTTCTGAGAATCATAAACCCATTTTTTCCTCAATCCTCCATTTCTTTTATGTTTACCACCAGTAACTGTTCCTTTAGGAGACCAATTTAAATGAAACTTTCCCCAAACCACTATTTACAACAAGGTCTAAATAGGAGATATCAAGTTTTTCTTATTTTTTCTTAATACTGAAGCATATGATTAAAACATCACATGGATGCAAGTTACACAAACAAATTTATTCATAATAATGGTGAAACATCATCTGGTATGAATTCAAAAATAAAGAATTAATCCGTTCCATAAAACCAATCCATATTTCTGGATAAAGACAGCAAACTGAACACATGTACCTAATACTGTTCCACCCCCAAGCCTCTCTATAACTGCAGTAAAGAAACCTTTTTAAAAATATAAATCCTGAAGGGAGGGAGACCAGGAGAGGAGATAAGGTACTGTAAGGTGGAAAGCACGTGGGCCAGGGGTGACGGACTTAGCATACCCAGGGCTGTACACCTTCGCACCGGCTGGTGGCTTCCGTACTGGACACAGCGGGTCTACTTCATTCTCAAGAGCCAAGAAGGCAACTATTACGGCGAGTCAGGACTTACCACATGTCATGGACCACATGTCATGGTCAGCCTGACTAGGCTAAAGGACACCCGGAGAGCTGGTACAACATCATTTCTGGGTGTGTCTGTGAGGGTATCTCTGGAAGAGATTAGCATTCAGCGGACTGAGAACAGAGACACGCCTTCACCAACATGGGCGGGTGTCATCTGAGCCACTGAGGACCCGAATGGAACAAAAGACGAAGGAAGGGCGATTCTCTCTCTCTCTCTCTCTCTCTCTCTCTCTCTAAGCTGGGACGTCCGTCTTTCAGGCTCCTGGCTCTCAGGCATTCTTGATCAGCACGTGCTGCTTGCTCTTCCTCCTTGATTCATATTCAAAAAGTCTGCCAATCTCTTCTAAAGTTGTAACTCGATTTCCACTCAACAGCACTGCAATTCTTTAAAATATATGCTTCTGTTTTGAACTCTGGGCACTCCAGTGTTGGAGAAAAGAGTAGGATTCCCATTTGCTATCTGCTCAATCCACATGACCGATACAGCCAAGTCTCTGAAATGTCTTGAAAAACGTGAGCCGTAATGAGCTCATTCTCACCTATATGCTCAGGCATCTGTTCACCGCAGCCAGAAAGAACAATTTGGGGGGCTACTGAGGGACCTTTAATTTAACCCCTTTAGACTCTCTTATACCAAAAAGCATTATCTGATATAGCAGTTCAGTAAATGTCTTCAACTGACTTCTAGACTCGGCCATAAATCTCTATACCTGCTTTACTCCCCTTGAACTATTCCATTAACTGACGACTAAGGGCATAAACCTGAAAGCAATGTACCATTCTCATTACTTCCTCAATCACATCATGCAATGAACTGACCTTGCAAAATTCAAAGCACAATACACAGAACACAATATCTTCTCTGTTTAATTTAATAAACTTGATTATTCCTGAATATTCATTACAGGTACTCATTTTTGGCAAATGGACTTTTCCATATTCACACCAAACACCTCCAGCTCCTTCTGAGAAAGTGATTTTATCTTACTAGCCTATAATGCCAGCGAAAGCAGAAAATAATTTCTTGTAGGAAACAATTCCTGTGGGCTGTGTCCTGGTGGTGTGTGTCTGCTCCACAGGCTAGGACTAAGTGTCCCTCTGAGTGGAGTGAGAGGGGACCACCTGGCATGGGAAGCTGAGGCGGACAGAAGGAAGCTGCTGGGCGGCATGCGCTCCTGAAGTCCTGTCCAACAGGTTGTTACGCAATGCGCGAGAGATGGAAAGACGCCAAATGGGACAGGTAGGAATATGTGATCTACTGAGGCTTTAAAGACAAAGCCACTCAGACACACTGTCAGTTTCCTGGCTCCATTTATTTTACATAAACCACTGTAGACGCACAGGAGAGAAAACACATGGTGGCCTGTAAAACACAGTATTCACACTTGGCAATTCCTAGTTATGGCGATATAGCCAGAAAAAAAGATCAGGGCACTTTCAAGAACTTGTTGTAATAGATTTTAAATATACAGATTCCACTAACTACCATAATAGCCTTGTAGTTAACATATTTTAAGCCAGATAATTCTAAAGAACACTCCATATTTAACATTAGAAAGAACTATATAATTGGGGATCAGGGACCTTTAGACAATATACTTGCATGGAAAAAAATCCAAAGCTAAATTATGGAGGTTGTAATGTGCAGCTTATGCTGCGTGCAATTGCTCTCCACAAAGCAAGTGTTCTGTACGTGTAATTAATTTTAACTTAAAAAGAACATTTCATGGAAGGAAACGTGAAGTTGAGTCAAACAATCAGAACAGATTCCATAACCAAGAGATATTTCTTTTCATTTCTCTGTAATGCTTTGTTTTGTTTGAACAAGATCAATTAAGCACCACAATATCAGGGCCCATAACTCAGCTCAATTTTATTTTAGAGTGCGACTTAAACCCTGGCAAAATAACATCTTGACTCGGTTTCCTCTGCTATAAAAGAAGCAAAAATCAGAGTCATCCGGTTACTTCTCGAGGACATCCAAGTGCACAGTTGGTTTCCTACCCAAATCCATTCCTCCCTCCACCTTCCTTGCTGTTAGAGGCCTGTTTCGGTACCTACCCTCTTGGGGCCAGGTGATCAGACATCGTCCCCTCACCAGCCCAAGGGAGAGAATCTTGATCAATCTAAACCTGTCAAGGTAATTCCATTCCCCTTGCAAGGCACCAGGCTAGGCATGGACGGATGGGGTAAATCTGCTGGGAAGGTTTCTAGGAAAGGGATCCTTAATTCCTAAAAAGTGCTTCTACCTCTGACAGCAAATACACCAAGAGGTGGTAAAGGAACTTGGGCAGCCATCCTGGGGCTTGAGGGGAACCAACACAAGAGGCCAAACTACTGAACTAGACTGGTCCTTGCCTCCGTCCCTGAGCTGCTGAAATAACGAGCCCTGGAGCGGCCTGACTCTGGCCTTTCTGTTTCACGAGATAATAAGTCCCTTTTGGTTTTCAGGCATTTTTGTTGAGCTTTCTGTTATTTGCCCAAAAAGCACCCCCATTCATACAAACAGCTTTAGCAGGCATTAAAAACTCCCCAGGGAAGAACACCTTGGGTTTAAAATCTACGCAACTTGGAATTGACAGGGATATACTCTTCTTAGGTCGTTACTCACCATTAAAAAATAATGGTCCTCAGGCTCAGCTCGAAGGTATTTAAAAATCACTTGTTCCATGAACCTTTCCATCAGATCCCAGTCTTCAATGATTCCGTGTCTTACTGGCCACTAAAGCAAGAGAAACCAAACTACATCAAGCTTCAGTTCACATCGGTGAGAGCACCAGTTTAACAACAGCACTGGCCCGGGAGAGATGGAAGACGGCGAGCTGTTGAACAGTGTTCCCCTGCATGGAGTGAATGTTAATTTATATAAAGAAACAACAGGCACTTTACCAGAACGAGTCCATGACATTACTGTTTATATTCTACTCCACCCATTCCTAAGCAGAAAGAATCGTCTTAACAATGGGGTAACAGATGGAAAAGCAGAGCTAATCTACAATACCATTCGATCTGGAGTTTGGGGAGTGGTTTCTTTTAGAACAAATGTCTAGTTAAATAACTTTAGTGCTTCTTTTTAACTGATCAATCTGCAACTTTCCACATATGACAGGTTAATTAGTCAACCTGCAGGTTTCCACAGGAGCAGACCTTGCTTTCCACATAACCCAGCGGTCCCTGAGTCAACTCTGCATTTGTAAATTCACTTGATTCCCCACATCAAAAATACCCTCATCAAAAACAACAACAAAAAAGCCTCTTTTCAAACATAAGAATAAAATATATTCTACAACTCACAAGTACAGTCTCTACATAAAGCGCCACTTTGCATCACTCATCCTGCGGCTCTGCTCTTGGCCGTGCACTTGCAGAAGCGAATCCCAGCAGGCGTTTACCTTTGTGGCATACGTGGGTTTATCTATGGCTTCGTCCCCTATGAAGAAGTCCAGGTCGTCGACACCCCTCAACACCCTCCTCTGAGCTTGGTCGACCACCTTTGCAGACTCTCTGATGGCAATACCTTAGGAAAAACAATACAAAGAGCCCATCACCATACTCATTCATTTCAATGATCAAGAGAGGATGATAAAATCCCTACGTATGGACAAGTAAATTTTCAATATTACGGTTTTATTTGGAGTCGAGTGTGTTCATAGAAAAGACTCTACCAATGAGTAGGTAAAGTAACACAGAAACAAGTTACCATGTTCCAGCATTATTTTCAGCATGGCACAAAAGAACTCAGCTGGTCTGCTTTTAATGCTGACAAAAGCTACATTACTAAATTTCTCAGTTTCATCTGAAAAAAATTCCTCAAGATAGTAAGTGAAATGCCCATGGAGTATCAAGTAGATTACAAATTTTAAAATACAAAATAGGAGACAAAATTTAAAATATAATACAGAAGAAAAGAGTAAACTGAAAAATGCCTCATGTCATTTTCATGAAACTCTGTCAGATTTAAAACATATTTTTAGTCTTGTTACCAAAAAATAAAACCTGATTTCCCATTAAAAGAAAAACTAAGAGGTTGCTGACTAGTATCTGACAAAAAGAAAAGTACAATAATCAAACAATTGTATTATGTAAAAATATTAATGGTTTTGAAACATTATTTTAATAAGAGCTTAACCTTGATACTTAGGAATATACTTAGTAGTAAATAATCATATGAAACTTAACTCCAGAATTAACATCTAATGAAATGTGGAAAGCTTCACAAAGATTCAATTTTCCATTTAAACTCCTAACCCCTGGTTAAACTCTGAGTTCCTAAAAACTACTCTTCATCAAATTTATTCCAAAACAAATACAATCATTTTTAAAGGTAGATTATCTGAAATCCCCAATTTATTACAAATGAAGAATAGCAAGAAAGCTATGGGAGCAAATTTTAATCCTTATTCTCAGAAAGCTATCTTTAAGTAACAGGCTAAAGAGGTGGAAAAAAAAAAAGGACAGAAATCACTCTGCCCATCTCCTTTTCTCACTCCAACTCATTGCCACATTTAGTCTCGAAGCTTTCAAGTTACGAAAGGTGGCACAAATCTAAGGGACAGAATTTCTGCAGGAAATGCTGGTGGCTGAGCCTAGAGAAAGCATCCAGGTCAGAAGCAGTGAGCCCATCAGGGCCATGAGGCTAAGAATGGGGCCAGAAAAGTCTGGAGGGCCAACACTTACTAAGGCAACCTGTGGAAACAAAGACAACCCATCTCTGAACACCAACCATGCCATCCAGTGGCACACTGACACAGAATCATCCGATGCGCCAGTTAGCATTTCAAGGGCCCCTGGAGAGAGGGCTTGCAGCAGACCTCAAAACTCCTCGCAGCGTGGCAGTGCCAGATTCCACCCTCTGGGCAAGACCAAACTTAACTATGCACAAATTTAGAATTAAACTGCCAAGTCAACTTAAAAGACTGTAAAGAGACAAAGACAAAAAGATTCTTCAATTCATGACTTCATTCAAGTTTGCCAAAAATTTGAGGGCAATATATCGAACAAGAGAAAACTCACCACCTTAAAGAAAACAATGCTAACCTTAGTGAGAATGAAGCTACCACGCTCAAAAATTCACCTGACAACAAAGTAAATCTTATCCTTCCCAAAAGAGAGTTGTAAGTACTCTGACCCCAAATCACAGGAGATCTATGTTTTAGTAGCCTTTAGCAGCAGCAGCAGCAACAAACCATAAAGCGTGCTTCTTTTAACTATTACACGGGAGCAACTACAGCCATGAAAGAGAGTAAAGCTTTATAGAGCTTATATTCAAAATCTTTTGTTCATACCTATGAAAAGCAAGATGTGGTCCAAATAGTCCTTGCGAACATGATGGAGAAATGTGTCTAAAGAGTAGCTATCAGTGAGCATCTCTGAGTATTCACGGAGTATACACATGACTCATTGTAGGACACAGATCTAAATCACCCGCAGCTTTCTCCAGCACACCACAGCTTCCTACAGGACCCTGACTCAGGTATAAACAAAGACAACAAGTGTGCGGAGAACATTAAGATGGAAAGGACAACAAATATAACAGATAACAGGATCAGCACCTAAACATTCCAACTGCTTACACACGTGTGGCATCTCCATGCAATGGAATATCATGAGGCCACAAAAAGCAACGCAAGAGTTCACGAAGTGACCCACAACGTTCTCAAAGATGGAGCGTCAGGAGAAAAAAAGCAAGGTGCAAAACGGTGTCCGTGGTATGCCACCACTTAGGTAAAAACACGTCTGTGTATATTTGCCGGTACGTGTCGAGTTACCTCAGGAAGGAGGAAACCAGAAACTGTAGTTGCCATCTAAGAGGGGAAGTGGGTGGTAGAGAGTTAATTTTCGCTGTACATCTTTTTACAGCATTTAATTTGTATGTCACATGAATGTATTACCTATTCAAAGTTAATTCAATTTGGACTTCTGCTTCTGGAAAGATGGAGTAAACATACTTTTCTCTACTCCTCTCACGAAGCACAGCTAGAATCCCTGGACTTTATATTTGAAAGAAACATAAAAATGCTGAGAGGTGAAGAGAAAGCAGCAGACTGGCTAGGGACCTCAGGACCCAAGGAACAACACGCTGGTGACTTCCAGGTTTTCATTTGTTTCATGTGTCCTACACTGGCTGCCAGGGAAGCCAACAACCCAGAAACACCAGTGGGAACAAACAAACACAGTCCCCAAAAGCCTGCTGTCTCCAGCCAAAGGAGGTGAAATGGGCAGTGAAAACATACAACTGCCCGACTCCAATCAAACACGACAGAAAAACAAACCCCCCCACGTGCAGTGTAGACACCACGCAGGAGCCAGGACTCATCCCACCCCTCTGCCTCCACACCGGGGTCCTGCCAGAAGAGGCCCGGTGGAAAGTCAGCACTTCCACCCCTCACCCTTCCGGCGGATGGTACCTGCAGAGGCCTAGTCAGGGGTCTGATCCCCCGCCCACACTCAGCAGCAACATGGAGCCCCTCCCCAAATGAGTGTCAACAAAGGCCAAGAGGAAAACCTGAACTTCAGCCCCAAACTGGCATTAACAAAGGGTATCCCCCTTCCCCTGCTGGAGCGATATCAGAAATGACTTGCCAAAGCATAAGATTTAAATAAGATCTGGAATCTCATAATATAATACCCAAAATGTCCAAGTTTCAATAGAAAAAAAAAAACTCTCACCATAGCAAGAACCAGGAATATCTCAAGTGAAATGAGAAAAGATGATCAATAGATACCAACACTGAGATGACACAGATAATAGAATTACCAAACAAGACTTTAGGAGCCATCATAAAATGCTTCAATGAGCAACTACAAATGCACCTGAAACAAATGAAAAATAAAAGGAAGTCAGCAAAGGAACACAAAGTCACAGCAAAGATAAAAGATATAAAGACAAAACCCACAGAAATTTTAGAACCAGAAAACACAATACCTGAAATTAAAATGTCAATGGATGAGCTCAGCAGCAGAAAACGACAGGGGAAAGTCAATGAACTTGAAGACAGCAACAGAAATAACCCAACCTGAACGACAAAGAGAAAACAGACTGAAAAACGAATGAACAGGGCTTCAGGGACACGTGGGCTGGACAACAGCACATCTAATATTCATGTATTCCGAGTCCCAGATGAGAGGAGGAAGGAGGTAGGGCTGGAAAATCATCCAAAGAAATTACGGTTAAAAATTTGTCAAATTTGGGAATTCCCTGGTGGGCCAGTGGTTAGTACTCTGCGCTTCCACTGCAGGGGACCTGGGTTCGATCCCTGGTTGGGGAACTAAGATCCTGCAAGCTGCGTGGTGAGAAAAAAAAAAAAATTTGGCAAATTTGGCAAAAAAAATAAAATAAACCTATAAATTTAAGGTTGAATAAACTCTAAAGAGGATAAACCCAAAAAAAAATCCAAAAACTAAAGAGCAAAGAAAAAATTCTGAATGCCTCCAGCAAATTTCTCATCAGAAATCAGGTAGCCCAAAAGGAAGTTGCATATTTTCAAGTGTTGCGAGAACTGCCCACTCAGAATCCTATATTCAGCAAAATTTCCTTCAAAAATGAGGAGCAAATCTAGACATTCTCAGATGAACAAAAACTAACAGAATTTGTCACCAACATATCTACTCTAAAAGACTGGCTAAAGAAAGTTCTCTAAACAGAGAGGAAATGATAAAAGAAGGAATCCTGGAACATCAGGAAGGAAGGAAGAACAAGAGCAAAAATATGGAAATTACACTTACTTTCCTTCTCCTCTTGTGTTTGCTAAATTATGTTTGGCAGTTAAAGCAAAAATTATAATGCTAATGTGCTTCTCAACGTATAACCTCAATTAAAACAGAAAGGGAGGAGGGTAAAGGGACATAAAGGGAGATAAGGTTTCTACATGTCACTGAGACTGGTAAATGCCGACACCACAGACTAAGAAAAGCTATGTACATATAAGATAATAACTAGACCAGCCACTTAAAAAGCTACACAGAGAGAAGCACTCAAAACACCAGATATGGGACTTCCCTGGTGGGCCGGTGGTTGGGACTCTGCACTCCCAATGCAGGGGGCCTGGGTTCGATCCCTGGTCAGGGAACTAGATTCCCACGTGCTGCAACTAAAAGCCTGTATGCCACAACAAAGATCCTGCGTGCCACAGCTAAGACCCAGCTCAACCTAAATAATAAATAAATAAATAAATAAGACACCACAGGTAACTCAAAATGAAATTCTAAAACATACTCAAGTAATCCACAGGAAGTTAGGTAAAACAAAACAAAGAAATGAAAAACAGAAAGAACAAACAGAAAAAGAACTAATCAATAATCACAATAAATGGAACAGTCTAAACACACCAGTTAAAAGACAGATATTGGTAGAGTGGATTAAAAAAACATGACTGAACTCTACATTGTCTACGAGAAACTCTCTTCAAATATAACAATATACGGGCACACCTGGTTTTACTGTGTTTTGCTTTTATTTAGTCTTTTTTTACAAATTGAAGGTTTCTGGCAACCCTGAGCCGAGCACGTCTACTGGTG